CAAGTGTGTGAGTGCTAGGTTGCCCTCTATGAGAATGTGAAGGGCTTCAAGCGGGTGCAGGAAGAGTTCGAACAACTTTGCCATGAAAAGTTACCAGAGTAATTTGGAATGAGGAAACCGCTACAAACCGTGTACAATCCTTTTCCCCTATTGATTTTGGTCCCCAGTCGGCCAAGGTATCGTATGGCTTTGCTGGACTTGAACGGGCGCCTTGGTGATATGGGTTGGAAAGTGCGTAATTAAGAGTTGACAAACATGCAATCATGTTTACATCAAAGGACAGATTATGGTCAGCCGCTCAACCGCCATCGGGTGTACATCCTGTTGGTGAGGGAGGAGCTCATGGTGCGTGCAGCCCGAAAAGACTTTCCCAAGTTCTGCAATGAGATTTGCGACTTGTTGAAGCACGACCCCGATGTGGCTTGGTGCCTTTGTCCTACATTTCTTTCGAATCCAATGAGAAACAGCAACTGTTAAACAAAAACACTTGGAGAGTTCTTGGTAAGTCCCTGTAGCTAAGGCAAGAGCTGCTTTTGGAAAAGGGTCACCCTTTGGTGCAGGATGTCATGGCCAAGCGAAACAGGAGGAGAAAGCGGAGGTTTTTTACCAAGCCCCTTAGCTGTTAAAAGATGGTCCACCATTATTCTGAACTGAATGGGAATATGAAACATGATGATTTTGTTTCGATTAAGGAGGCCACCGGGCTATGGCTGCAAATGGAAGAAGCATCACAAGATTTGGGCGAGAAAGAACAACATCAAGGCCCATGTCGAAGTTCCCCCCAATCAGTTATTCATTCCCCCAACCATGTGTGTCAGGTGAAATCATCAAAGGGCTGCTTTGCAAAGAAACATCCAAAGGGTGTTGATCAAATCACTACCCAGAGAGAAATGCAGGCTGGCTTAGTTTGATCTGTGGCTTCGAGCTATTTGACATACTGCCTGCAAAACTGCCATGTAAGGCCTTGGACCTGCTGCTGGCCAAGCATGGCAAGTTGGCTGCTGTCAACACGAGCCAGGCAATCCACAGGATGGGCTTGATCATGAAGGACCAACCATTGCCTTGCTTAACGCCCCGTTCTAAGTCATTTCTCATACGCCATGAGCGCAATTCATGATTTCACAGGAAACATCAACCTGCCTCTGATTTCCAACTATCAAGGCCCAATGGATCATATTTCATTGGACACCAGAGCCGCTTTCTGACCGGTAGCTCCACTGAAATTATGTTTGAACTAACTTATAATCATTATTACTTGGCGGTTCTTCATGTTGTCCCATCTTGCAGATCTCAAACGGCCCTCGCTATCAACCCACAGCGCCACTCAGGTATCGAAGCCATGATCCTGCATGGAATGCCAGTGGATGCTCTCCATACCAGCAACTTCACAGACCGCGAGTTTTAGTCGCACATCAAAAGCCACGCCTGAGGTTCCCCCAAAACTTCACGTGTTTTTGAAACTGGATCCAAGGAATTGTTTGGAATGGCTGGCAATGGAATGGCCATGCGTTGTGTGATGATCGCAGTAGCCGTGGCCCTTAGGAGTGTGAGCCCAAGTCTAGTAAAGAAGTATTTGAAGGCATAGGGGGTTCTGATGGGTACCATATCACTGTGAGAGCGGAAAATTGGGAGATGTGCCCACTTGCCGGATGAGCAGGTTCTTTGAGTCAGTCAATTTCTAGAACGATGCATTTCCATTATGCCCTGGTTCAATATTGAACGTGTTTTTCACTGCTGAACCGCGTTGAAATCAAACCAGCCCTGAACAGCCCTGGGTTGGAGAGAGGGCTGCAATGCCAGTCCTGCACCGGTACGAAGCCAGTGACGATGAGCTCCAGCCTGCAACACGGGCTGGAGATGTGTGGCGTTATGATGAAACCTCGAGCGATGAGAGACTTAGCCAGGTCTGTTGGTTGTAGGTGTCTTGTCTTGATCCTGATACTTCATGTTCATGACTCCCTCATACTCCGTCCCTTTTGATCCTAGGAATGCAGAATCGGAATCCTCTGATGATTCCGACGATGAGGATACACGTGCCCCTGCAAAGAGCGTGGACCTGACCCTAACTGCATTGAACTCTTTGCACACCCTGAATGAGAGCCCTGATCAATCAACATTTGCCACACATGGGGTTGACCGAGACAGACTCTCCTCTTTGTCCAAACACCCGCCTTGCGAATGCAAGTGCCGAGTTCCACTGGTGGTATTGCAAAAGACCTGTCAGAGCTTCTGGAGGTTACCGAAGCAAAGTCAGGACGCTTTGCTTTGGTCATTGCAAGTTCAGGAAGGATCTTCTAGGAGGACTTGGAGCATTGAAGGACCCCATGTACAGTATGTCAATCAACATTCGCTGTTTGGAATGTCATTGAGCTCATAGGTTGATCTGTTGTTGTTTGGTCAAGCATATGCCCCAGGATACAAAGTCTGCAGATTGGCGTGGTTGCGTTATTTAGGAATAGGAAAACAACGCCTTGGGCGATGCAAGAGGGCCTTTCATGGCATTGATGATCGTACCATCAACCAAGGCTTTGCGGCAGCAGTTACCATGTTAAGATTTGGGTTTCATTCAACATGAGATGCAAGACCTAGGTCAACTACCCTGGTCCTAAACTCGTCCTTTATGGATTTTATGGAACCAACTTGTTTGAGACCTAGGTCAAACAACCCGTTCTGCAACGCAGTCTGCATCAGCGAGTACATTCTTTGGGCACCTTTACTACACAGCTGCAGAGTCCATGCCTACCAAGTAACTTGCTTTATGGTGCGTGTGTGATTCACATCTTAGCAGTAATCTTAAGCTTCGCAAAACACATCTCAGGTTTGTGTCTTCTTCGGATGCAGCGTTCTCTCGAGAAGATGAGGATTTGAAAGAGGACCTCCTAAAAAAGCTGATCCACCGAAAATTGACGGGGCCCACTTTAGAGATTATGGACATGGACCCCGCCAAGCTGCCCCTGAGAGAGCTGCCTCCAGGAAACACTGCATCCCTGTTCCTAATGTACTTGGCATGGTGCAAGGTATCATCCATGCATCAGCCATGCTGCAAAAGCACGTTCTACACGACTGCCAAGTCTTGGTATACATGCTTACGCTTCCGGAGACGGTCAGAGCATGCTATGTGTGCAACATGCCAACGCCTGAAAGCCGCAATCCATGCTTCACCGGATTGGGTCTTAGTTTGGGTGTGTAAGAACGGTGATCACACATGGGTCTGGTTACACAACATGTTGGCTAAATAGTCTGAGGATTTTCATCAGCACGCATCTCTATGCAACGAGCTGTTGTTGCACTACAGCTCTCAATACAAAGATCGGATGGTTTACTGGGCAGCACGGGAGAGAAGTTGCAATGAAGGTGACCTATTAACACTAATATGCGATTCATTCGATCGATCGAAATTGCAGCTGCCCATGTGGCCACTGAATCGGACCCCCAAGAGGACAGTTTACGAAACTATCCAACGAACCTTGTTCGCGTTCAGGGTGATGTTTTAGTATTGAGTATTGCTGACCATCTGAACCCTTCCATACAATTTCAATACCTGGGTCGGTGAAGCTCCCGACTGAGGAGCGAACTTGGTCCTCACAGCCGTTCTTTGCCACGGACATGGCCTTTTCCTGTTCTTGACCTCCCGGGAAGGGATGAGTGCTGGCAGCAACTGGAATTGGGAGTGTGTCTCTTGTTTTGACATGCTGAAGCACAACAAAACTTGGTGACCACAAAGTGGCTGTATATTTGTCTATACCAGTTCCAAAATACAAGGTTATGCGAGCATTGGATGGTATTTCAACCAGGGCCAGGGCTCGGAATGCTCCCTTCCCCTCGGAGTTTCTTGGAGGCAGCAAAACAAAGCTACCCTCTGATGGTCACTGCATGGGATGAATTTCCTGTTTTTGTTAGGCTTTGGGTCCAGAGCGACAACACTGTCAAGGAACTGCGCAACCAATATGGATCCAAGATGCTGTCATGTATGACCCAGGCCGGCCTGTGGGGGGTGGCTAGTTGCCACCACCTGCAGGTCGGCCATACACATGAGGATGTCGATGCGATATTCAGTTTGGCAGCAGTAGCTTTGAGGACTTGCCAACCCCAATATTTACAGACCCCTATGGATATTGCCCGACGTCTTGAATCCAAGCTTGGCCACCTTTGGACAAAGAAGGGTCTTATCTTCAACATTGAGCTGGTGGATACTGTGACTAAGTTACAGCTATAACTAGTTGTTCGAGAGGTTGGAAAAGTACTGCGACTGGAAGTTTTTGGTACCGACAAGTGTCTTCCTTTCCAGCTCTGCTCATCCAAGGTACGCGACTGGGTGTCTTTGCTACCTTCCGGGTTGAGTCTGAAAAATGCATTTCGGGCAAGAAAGTGGATTGACAACGAAGATCAAATTCCACTGCCTCAATCATTCACTTTCATGACACGGGCAGGCAAGGTGAAGCATTGTTATTGTTATGCGGTGTGTTTGCTCCAAAGAGAAATGCTACTACTAACTGATATTATTCTTTGTTGGGAGGCCTTCCAGATCAAGGCGCCAATCTCGAGCTGAGCGATCGGGTACCGAGGGCCATGCGAGCTGACAATGTGATCGATGATACCTTCTGCATGATCAAAGAAAGAATGGCCAGTGATGGGCTATGCCAGTCGCCTTTGCTAGTTCTCCCAGGGTCCTTCATAGAAGAAAGCAAGAGGTTGTTGAGGCGGGCAAATGAAGAAAGTTGCCCAGTTAAGACCTGTCACCTTGACCAAGACCGACGGGATGAACTTAGGATGCTGAAAATTGCAATTTCAAAGGACTTCCCTGGTCTCACTCGCTGTATGCAGTTTTATGAGACCATGATTGCAGCTAGCCCTTGCGCTGGAACAGTGCCAAAACTGGCATTTCTCAACCGGGCCAACACGGCTGGCCGCCGTGATTGGGGGGCAATGGGACTTGGTCAAAGGCCAAGAAACCCGAAGCCACACGAGCTCCAGGTTGTCTTTCACCGGGCTCGGGTTTGACATACTTTTGGGGATTTTTTCTTGCGGGGTGCAAGGTGCAAAAACAAGTGTTAGTTTCGTTCATAAGAAGATTGAAATGGTCATTACAGTGGATGCTGCCATATTCTTTTTCATGACAGACTGGTTGGCTCAACAAGTTTGATCTGGGCCTTCGAACATGAGTTCTGAGCCAGAGGGTCAGTTTGTTGCCACTGAGCCCATTGAGAAACTTCGGGCATACTTCGACTCTGTTCCTTAATTTCATTTGGTAACTACTTTGGAGTGACATGGTGTGACCAAAAAGCAAATATACAACTTCCTGCTAGCCAAGGTTGTGGCCAACAAGAATGTTGGGCAGCATCTGGCAGAGGTGTTCAGTGACAAGAGCAAAATGCGCAAAGCTAGCACCTCAAAAACAACTGACTATGGAAATCATCATAATTATTATTATTGATAACGTTTTGACCCAGGCCATTTGGGACTTGGTTGACTCCAACCCCACGGCAGATTTTGACAAGGGCTACCTGCAATTGACTCCCAACGCATCCATGGAGGAGTTTTGGCTGCCGTTGCACGCCTTCGACTACAGTGAGCATGGGAAGAATGGATGTGGGGGGGGTCCAAAAACATGTGTTTGAAGATGTTTGATGGCTTTTGTTCTAACACCCCAACCTCAAGTGTGATCAATCTCTTGCTTGACCCCTGAAGTCTTTCCGTCAAACACTCAGATGAAAGCGCACTTTGGGGAATTTTTGCGGTACGGCTACAAGAGCAGCATTGGCAATATAGAGTGCAAATTCCCTCTCCGTGACAGCTCGAGAAAAATCCCAGACTTCAGTGTCGGGGTGACTGACGGCCATTGTAAAATCATCCTGATGATGACTATTGTGGCCATGGTGACGGAGCTGGAATTTGGGGCACAGGAACTGAAGGACAAACAATTGGCCATGGTCCTTGCCAGCTTCTCACAGATCCGATGTTCCTACGAACATTTTGAGAACCCTGCTCATTTCTTCCTTTACAGCCTCAGAGTCTTTTCTACTGTAAATACATTTTACTGCAACCTTTTTGCCTGAAAGTTCTTGTTTCAGTCCCCATGAAATCAAACCACAATATCCTTTACCTTTGGCAACTAAGAAACTGGCTTTGTGTCAGCAGAGAAGCAGGGGCCCTCTCCAGTGGAGCTAGTTGCTGAATTGCAGCAAGCGGTCGAGCTGCAGAAGCGTCAGATTACAACTCGTTCTATGTCGCTTCGTGACCATTTGAACCGGGTTACCGCAGATTACAACCGCATGGTGACCAGCAAGAAGCACCGATTGGACTCTGGCAAAAAAAGCACTGGTGCTGAATTTGATACTCTTCCCAATTTAGCCACAACTTGATGATCGATGTTTCATTTTCCTGGTTAAACTCTGACTCGTGATAGGTTTTGGAGATATGTTGCTTCCTTTCCTCCGGGAGATATGTTGCTTCCTTTTAAGGATGCGGTGTCCAACTGACCTGGTGTCCTTTTTACACTCCCACTACGATGAGTACAGAGCGGAGAACTCAGGACTGAAGTTGAAGGGTGAAGTTTACAAGGTGAAGTTGGTTTAATGTTTTTCCTGTTCTCCACCCATCTTCCACCCAGTCTTCCACTGATCTTCCCTGAACAGGTGTGCCTCACGAAGTGCTTCAATTGGACTACTTCGTCCCTGGCTCGAGCAGTCGATTGGAACATGAACGGTATAGAGGGAAGAAGCAGTTTGCAGCCATGTTGAATGTGACGGACGATATTACAATGACCTATTTTCGCCGGGTAGTTCAGGACATGCAAGTTAAAGTTAGATTGAACCACAAGCCTGGATATAAATTTGACAACATGTCCAATGTCCAACACTGCTTGATCGGGCCCCTCGATGTCAGATCCCTGCATCAGGACTTTTGCAGAAAAGCATCCAGGGAAGCCAGTACAAAAGCAAAGGACAGGGTCACCAAGTCCAAAGATTTGTTCTTTCCCATGTTGTTCAATCAACATAGTAGGCAAATATATGTTTGTGGCTAGTTATTTTGCCACCCTGGTCAGAAACAGCACCAGCTGTCTGAAGATGCACATCTCTTGCTGTTTGACTGCTGCTGCTGTTGGCACTGGCTCCGGGAGAAAATGATTGGCACTTTTCCTGGTGAGGTCATTGCCAAACATGACAAACTCTTTGAGGAAGGGCCCCATGGCAGCATCAATGATTGGTTGCCAAAAAAATTTGGCTACCTACCCCAAAACGTGATTGGCTGCCAAATATTTTTGGCTACCCCCCCAAAAATGTGATTGGGTTTCCAGAAACCCCGTCACAAATCCACCAAGAATTTGGCCAGGTACCAATCCCACGAAATTTGGCTAGGGGCCGAGAATCAATCATACTAAAGTCTCAAGAATCAAAGCTAAAATGTGATTGGGTTTCTGGAAACCCCGTCGCAATTTCATAGGGATCCAAGGGGTCAATCACATCGTGGACATAAATGTTTGCGCATTCCAATGATTGGTCCCTTGATTTTATTGGTTTTTGTGATGGGGTTTCTGGAAACCCCGTCATCTTTCGCCCTTTGGATTTCACTGTGGAAAGGTGATTGGTTCCTGAATGTTTCTGATGGGTTTCTGACTCATTGGCCGTTTGCTGCCCTCTCAGGCATTTGGATAGCGATCTGTCCAGCCTCATGAAATCGGGAGAGGAGTTTGACTGGAACCGGGTGAGCTTCATACTTGAGGCTGCTTTGATCAACTTTTGCTGCCCTGATTTGCCAATTGTATTACAGTAAAACTGCAATATGATATTTTGAAATGCTCGGGTGACTTGGCAAGGGTTTACCGGGTTTCAATTATAACTATTCAAAGAAAAAAGCTACCGCTGTGCCTGCCAACCGGCCAATGCCCTGCAGGCCCATGGGAAGAGCCTTGAAGACTTCGTGGAGAAACACCAGGATCAGTCCAAAAATGCCTTGCGGAAGAGCATGGAGGCGGCGTTTGCTGCGTGGGT